GTCTCCCAGTGCTGGACCTGCAGGTATCGCTCATATTACACACACACCGTTTCACCTTCAAATCTGCATGTCCATAAAACTCAATGGGCCCTATTTTAAAGCTGCTTAAAAATGATCCAAAATACAGCCAGTGTTCAAAACTCTCAGCTTGCCGTAGGTCGATTCAAAGCGGTAAGCTTTAAAGGAGTAGTAAACTTTTGCTGATAATTTGAAAATTTAATAATTTTAAAGTCTGTCTTTCTTCAGTCGAAGAGAAGTTAAGGTTTTTGATGAAAACATTCCAGGATTTTTCTCCATATAATGGACTTCAATGGGGACCAAACGGTTCAAGGTCCAAATGAGAGTTTCAGTGCAGCTTCAAAGGGCTTTAAACGATTCCAGACGATGAATAAGGGTCTTATCTAGCGAAACGAGCGCTCATTTAAAAAATAAATAACAAAGTTTAAGTTTTATAAGCTCAAATGCTCGCCTTGCTCTGTTCTGTGATGCTCCCTTTACGAAAAAGAAGTATATTTCAAGTTCATTTTATGTAGTATACTTAAGAAATGTTCAAGTATATTTTTAAGTATACATTATGTAGTAAGTATACTAATGTCACTATGTACTAGTAGTAAACTTGTAAGTGTACTATTTTAATACCGCTTGGGACTAAATTAGCCCACTTTTAGTACATAAAAATATATGTTTAAGTGTACTATAAGTGTAACAGTAAGTGCACAACTAGTTCATAATTATGTATCTCATGTGTACTGCAAGTGAATTTATGGGTATACTAGTAGTTTACTTTTTTACTGTAATACTTATACAAGTATACTTTGAATACTTAATTATACTTTTAAGTATTTCTGGATCAAAAGATTGAGTACAAGAACAGGACAAATATACTTGCTTTTCTCTCAGTATAAGTCAAGTACACTTTGAAGTACTTATATTTCTGAGAAGTACACATAGTATACTTCTGAGAAGTACAGGAAAAATAAACTGAAAGTATACTTTCTTATTTTTAGTTTAAAAGAAGTATACTAATGGCACACTTGAATGAACTTCTTTTTTCGTAAGGGTCGTTCGTGACTCTCCTGTTCGAACTCGTTCATCAAAATGAACGAATCTTTTTTCATGTCATTTGGTTCATTCAACGAATGAAACGAACGAGTTGACTCGGGAAAAGATTCATTATTTTGATGAACAGGATCACAGAACAGAGCGAGGCGAGCATTTGAGCTTATAAAACTTAAACTTTGTTATTTATTTATTAAATGAGCGATCGTTTCGCTTGATAAGACCCTTATTCATCGTCTGGAATCGTTTAAAGCCCTTTGAACAGTTTGTAGTTTGCACTGAAACTCTCATTTGGACCTTGAACCGTTTGGTTCCCATTGAAGTCCATTATATGGAGAAAAATCCTGGAATGTTTTCATGAAAAACCTTAATTTCTTTTCGACTGAAGACAGAAAGACATGGACATCTTGGATGACATGGGGGCGAGTAAATTATCAGCAAAAGTTTTTTTAAAGTGAACGACCCTTATTTGAAACTTCTCTTAAAATGAAATGAAAACCCTTGAAATGTCACATCTACCTTCAGTGAAAAGAAAGAAAGGCCAGTAAACGGCAGTAACTCGTCATCAGCTCGATTAGCCTCACCGCGAGCCGGTCTCTGTGTTCAGCCTCATGTGGAGAGTCAAGCGTCTGACATTTCAGACCCTCCGCAGGTCCGAGACGTGTGTGTTCATGTCTGACAGAGGCGTCGGAGCCGCTGATGGATGCCAGAGGTTTGTAAAGGTTGAATCCGGACAGCATTGATGCAGAAAGCAGATGTTGAACAGCTGGGTGGGAGACCTGAACGCATGCTGAGCTCGACGCCTCCATCACACACTCGTTCACAACGTTCACAACCAAATAAAGCTTAGAAACTCCTCTGGAGAGGAACACACCTGTCAATAGACGCCTCTCCTGCTCACCACAGCTGCATTTATTTCATCTCAAATACAGTAAAACAGTCATATAGGAAAATATGTTTTGAATTCAAATTTGCTGTTTTCTATGTGATTATATACAGTAGTAAAATGTCATTTATTCCTGTGATCAGCATCATTACGCCAGTTTTTCAGTGTCGCATGATCCTTCAGAAATCACTCTAATATGATGATTTAATGCTGATTTGCTCAATTATTAATTATGGTTCTGATTTTTTTTTTTTTTAAATGCTTACATTTTTGTGGAAATTGTGAAGCATTTTTCTTTCAGGATTCTTTAATGAATAGAAAGTTCAAAAGAACAGCATTTATTTGAAAAATAATCTTTTGTAACATTATAAATGTCTTTACTGTCACTTTTGATCAATTTAATGCAAAGTGTTCACTTCTGTTTTTATTTTAATATTAATTTTAATATGGTAGTGTATCACATTTTAGACACGAATCTGAACTGTTTTCAACATTGATGATAATCAGAAATGTTTCTTGAGCATCAGATCTAGAGTGATTTCTGAAGGATCATGTGACTGAAGACTGGAGTAATGATGCTGAAAATCACAGGAATAAATTATATTTTACTATATATTCACATAGAAAATAGATATTTTGAATTCTAAAAATATTTCCCAATATTACCGTTTTTACTGTGTTTGTGCTCAAACAAATGCAGCCTTAAAAATCGTAATTAAACCAAACATTTGACTGGGGTTACAAACCTGTCCCTTGAAAGCAGCAGATCTGTTGTGTCTCAGGCATCTGAACGCCACACACACACACACACACACACACACACACACCTGCTCGATCTGATCTCAGACCTGCTCTGCTTTGAGATTGATTTGAAGTATAATGTTCTGTGTGTCGTTCAGCGCCGGCAGAGGTGGAGGCTGAGGATGACGAGGATGAAGATGATGACGATGACGACTGTAAGAAGTCCATGGACGAGGTCAGTAAGAGTTTGTGTTCTTATTGACAGGTGTGTATCCATAAGTGTTATTTATGTACAATTATACTATTTATTTATGCTATAATTGCTTTTGTTTTTATATTTTCTGTTTTAATTTTAGTTTAGAAGTTTTAGCGTTTTAGTACTTTATTTCAGTTAGTTGGAAAGGCAACATTTCTTATTTCTATTTTTGTTGGTTTAGTTTAATATATTTTTATATAGCTTCAATGTATTTTTATTGATTTAATAAAAACATGGTATTTTAGTAATTAAATAGAGAAATAAATTAGTACTTAAACGTATTTCAAGTAGTTGCCATGGCAATGCTTCTAATTTATATTATATTATTTATTTATTATTTATTCATTTCAGTTTGTTGCAAAGGCAACATTTCTATCTCTTTGTTGGTTACTTTTAAACAAAAATTTATATAGCTTCTTTATATATTTTTTTAATTTTAGTAATTTTAGCAATTATACTTTTTTTAATTAGTTGCCATGGCAATATTTCTAATTTCTGTTGTTTATTTATTTTTTTTTATTATATTTTATTTATTTTTTTTGGTTTCTTTTTAAAATATTTATATAAAGCTTCAATGTATTTATTGATTTTAGAATCTTTTTATTTTGGTAATTTTGGTATTTAGACTTATTTAATTAGTTGCCAAGGCAATGTTTCCAATTTCTATTATTTATTTATTTATTTATTTCAGTTTGTTGCAAAGGCAACACAAAAAAAATATTTTTATATAGCTTCTTTATATATTTTTTTAAAATTTGAGTAATTTCAGCAATTATACTTTCTAATATTATATTAATATTTCTAATTATATTTTTCTAATTTCTGTTTTTTATTTATTTTTATTATATTTTATTTTATTTCAGTTTGTTGCAAAGGCAATATTTCTCATTTCTATTTTTTTTTTTTTTTTTGTTTATTTTTAAAATATTTAAATAAAGCTTCAATGTATTTATTGATTTTAGAATCTTTTTATTTTGGTAATTTTGGTATTTAGACTTATTTAATTAGTTGCCAAGGCAATGTTTCCAATTTCTGTTATTTATTTATTTATTTCAGTTTGTTGCAAAGGCAACATTTCTATCTCTTTGTTGGTTACTTTTAAAATACTTTTATATAGCTTCTTTATATATATATTTTTTTTAATTTGAGTAATTTTAGCAATTATACTTTCTAATATTATATTAATATTTCTAATTATATTTTCTAATTTATGTTTTTTATTTATTTTTATTATATTTTATTTTATTTCAGTTTGTTGCAAAGGCAATATTTCTCATTTTTATTTTTTTTATTTTTTTGGCTTCTTTTAAAATATTTATATAAAGCTTCAATGTATTTATTGATTTTAGAATCTTTTTATTTTGGTAAATTTGGTATTTAGACTTATTTCAATTAGTTGCGAAGGCAATGTTTCCAATTTCTATTTTTATGTTGTTTTTCCCTCTACATTTATGTATGGCTTTATTTTTTTAATTTCAGTTTTAGTTTTTATTTTAAGTTTGAGAAATTTTATTATGTGTTGTTGCTAAGGCAACATTTAATTTTTTTCTATTTCTAATTTCTTTTCTATTTTTTTGGTTCATTTCTAATTTAAGTTTGTCCTCTTATATTTACATTTTATATCAGCTTTATTAAAAAATGCAAAAATACAAATGTTTTCAGCAGATTGTCAAATGAGTGTGTGTGTGTGTGTGTGTTTCCTCAGGGTACAGCAGGATCTGAAGCCTTCGCCACTGAGGAAATGTCCACGCTGGTCAACTACATCCAGCCCACAAAGTTCCACTCCTTCGAGGTTTCCAAGAGTGAGTACGACTGCATGCGAGCCGAGAACACACACTGATTTGAAGATCTCGCTCAAACTCGACGTGTGTGTCTGCTTTCAGAAATCAAGCGCAGTTATCAGATGTCATCGTTTGTGGAGACCAAAGCCCTGGAGCAGCTGACCAAGACCCCGGTGGAGTTCGTAGAGCATCCTTTACCCCGTCGCCTCCAGGAGGAGTGTGTTTGAGTTCTGTAGCGACGTCACACACAACCCACATAACACATCAGACACATGACAGGAAACCAGGACAAGTGCATCTATTATTTATGCCGTAACTTATGACCCAAATAACACTTCAGAACTCTAGTCCATTCGACTCTTCTGAAGCAGTTTAGGTGTGTGTGAAGAATGCTCACATGTGCACAGAAACACACTTCACAATATCAGATCAGAGGGAATTGGATTTCTTTTATGAAAGGATATTGTTTTCATTTTATGCCATTTTTCATCAAAACCTGCCAATACATGTCTGGGTCACATTTCACCACAAATACAAATTAAATAAATGAATCAGAAATTTACATTTGGATTAAACAGATCAAAGCCTATTTTTAGGGCCTTTTATTAACAATTAATATAATTTTAAATTTTATAAACAAAGTACATTTTCACCCTCAATATTGTGAAACACAATGATATCATATTTAAATCTTATTTATATGTGTGTATATATATATATAGTCCTGATATGATGTAATGGAATATATATATATATATATATATATATATATTATTTCACATTCATTGTTTTACTTTTTCATTTATTTTATTTCGAACATTTTTTATCTGAGAGCCTTTATTTGAAATAGAAACGTTTTTGATTTTTGTTTTATATTTATACAAAGCTTTAGTTTATTTTTATTTCAGTTTCAGTTTTTCGTAATTTCAGGACTTCAACCTAAACTGATTTCAGGTCGTTGCAAAGTCAACATTTGAAAAACAAAGATTGGGGTTGCTTTTTTTTTTTTTTTTTTTTTTTTTTTTTTATATTTCTATATAGTTTAATCTATTTTTGTTTTATTAATTTAACTTTATTTCAGTAATTTTACAACTTAAACTTCAGTTAGTTGCCAAAGCAATGTTTCTTATTGTTTTACTTAATGAATAAAAGTGTTAATTTTAATATATATATATATATATATATATTCCCAAACTAAATGTGTAATATAATTTTGGGTCAGTAAATGAATCTTTATATATATATATATGTAATGCATATGTATTCAGTTGAAACTCAAACAATTAGAATATGGTGCAAAAGTTCATTTATTTCAGTAATTCAACTTAAAAGGTGAAACTAGACTCATTTCATGCAAAGTGAGATATGTCAAGCCTTTACTTGTTATAATTGTGATGATTATGGCTTACAGCTTATGAAAACCCCAAATTAAAAATTAGAATATTGTGAAAGGTTTTCATAAGCTATAAACCATAATCATCACAATTATAACAAATAAAGGCTTGAAATATCTCACTTTGCATGTAACGAGTCTATATAATATATTAGTTTCACCTTTTAAGTCGAATTACTGAAATAAATGAACATTTTGCAACCGAGTTTCACCTGAATACATATACAGTACATATATACATATAAAGATTCATTTACTGACCCAAAATCATATTACACATTACACAATATTCAAATTTATCGAGTTTCACCTGTATGTATATGTAAATATGAAAGTACATTTACCCCAAACTCTCTCTGTCTCTCTCTCTCTCTCTCTCTATATATATATATATATATATATACACACACATCCAGACAAATATGATTATTTCTTATGCCAATAGAAAAAATAGTGGCAAAAAAGTCTCTATGACAAATAATAATATTACACGGACATGTTGAGTCAGATTCAGGGATGTATGGTCAATGATTTCTTGATGTATCAATGCCGTTCATTACGTCAGTCCCTTAACTGTGGTCATGTAGATACAACAAATTTCAGCTGAGCAGAATCTATCCTAAAGGAACTCGAGTGGATTCCTCCAACTACATGCCTCAGGTGTTCTGGAACGCCGGCTGTCAGCTCGTCGCACTCAACTTCCAGACCATCGGTGAGCACATCCAGAACACTCCTTCAGATAAGGGATACTTCAGCATTTAGCATTAAGCTTGTAGTAGTATTTTCAAACTACCGTGCTTTCCACCCTCATATCCCCCTGAGACGAGAGATTTATGGATTTTTTGTCTGGAAAAAATCCTCCGATGACTCAAAAATCGTCATTTCACGTCATCGGAGGATTTTGTTGTCCAGAGGCTAAAGACTACAGTCAGTAGTTGGTCTGTCCCGCATGTCCTCAACCCGCCCATAGATATATTATTTCACATTTATTGTTTTATTTTTCATTTATTTTATTTAGAACGTTTTTTTATTTGAAATAGAAAAGTTTTTGATTTTTGTTTTATATTTATACAAATCTTTAGTTTATTTTTATTTCAGTTTCAGTTTTTCGTAATTTCAGGACTTCAACCGAAACTGATTTCAGCTCGTTGCAAAGTCAACATTTGAAAAACAAAAAATTGGGGTTGCTTTTTTAATATTTCTAATTCTATATAGTTCGATGTATTTTTTTTATTAATTTATCTTTATTTCACTAATTTTAGAACTTAAACTTAGTTCAGTTAGTTGCCAAAGCAATGTTTCTAATTTATTTATTTATTTTTTTTACTTGATGAATAAAAGTGTTAATTTAATATATATATATATAAATATATATATTTTCCCAAACTAAATGTGTAATATAATTGGGGTTGCTTTTTTAATATTTCTAATTCTATATAGTTCAATGTATTTTTTTATTAATTTATCTTTATTTCACTAATTTTAGAACTTAAACTTAGTTTAAGTTCATAAATCGAAAATCCATAAATCAATAAAAATCCATAAATCGCCCATAGAGGGAGGATCTCACTCACAGAATTAACACATAGTGTCGGCCATCTTTTTTTGGAAGCTAAGCTACAGTAGCAGGCTCTTGTTCTGTGGAGAAAGCGGAGTAGTCGGGGTTATCATCCTCTTTTTCCAGGACATGTCCGGCCGTCAGAGATGTATAAAGTACTAGAAACCCGGACTTGAGTAAAAGTACAAGTGCTCTATCACAAAAGTGACTTGAGTAGAAGTTGAAGTGCTCTTTAAGCACCACACTTAAGTAGAAATACTAAAGTATTCAACATTTTTTTGTACTTAAGTATTACAAGTAGTTTATTTAAAAATGTACTACAAGTTCTAAAAGCAAAAGTACAAGTATTGTGTCGTGTAATTATTAAAGAAAGCAGTCAAAAGTTTGAATTAGCAATCAAATAAGGCGCTAAATTTTCTTTGGCGGCTGCCAAAAAATGTCATTGGGACAACCCCTGCATTAGTTGACAATGTGTGTGTCAATCAATACCATTACCCTATAAAACTGGCGTGTGATTTAGGCAGCATGAAAGCCAACTTGCAACAAATGATTCGTTAATTTTTTATAATTGTAACGAGTAACTAGCAGAACATTAAAAATATCGAAGTAAAAGTATTAAATTCATCGAAAATATCTACTGAAGTAAAAGAAGAAGTATGAGAAAAAAAACAATACTCTAGTAGAGTACAGATACAGCATTTTAGTACTTAAGTACAGTAATCATTGTTTACATGCACAGCTTTAGTTTCAATCGAACTGAATTCATTCCGATTGGTGTTACCGGTAGGCGTGGCCTCCTAGGGCAGCGAAGCAAGTGCATTCTGGGAGTTGTTGTCTTTCATCCACATAAGCCAAAAATACATTTTCTGGCTTTTCTCAGTCTAGAAAGCTCCAAATTCAAAAATAATTTCACATTTTCTTCTACATAAATGACCCATTTTAAATACACATTCACTTTTCCAGAGGTGGAGTATCCCTTGAAATGTCAAGTGTAATTGTGTGTTTGACTCTGCTCTCTCAGATCTGTCCATGCAGCTGAACCTCGGCATGTACGAGTACAACGGGAAAAGTGGCTACCGACTCAAGCCAGAGTTCATGAGGCGACCGGACAAGCATTTTGACCCCTTCACAGAAAGCACAGTGGATGGGATCGTGGCCAACACCTTATCAGTGAAGGTCAGCTTTATCACACTCACCTATCATTTATGACTTCTGTTGCCAAAGCTCATTTGCAATGCACTATTTATAATTTGACTTGCATGATTTTTTTAATTGGATGCATTTAGTGTTTATATGAAGAGTTCAGATGCAAGTGCCATTTGAAATTTTCTTCTAAAATGATCATTTTTATCAAGCTTGTATATTCAAGTTCAGTAATTTCACTTAAATCGCAATGAAGATTACCTATTAATTGTCATTTAAGTGAAATTACTGAACTTAAATATACAATCTTCAGGGATCGTCATTAAGGCTTGTCCGGGACAAGTGGATTTTTTGAGTAGAAGAGAAAATTAGTTGTCCGACCGGACAAGTTAAATTTCAAACAAAATAAAATGCCATGTTACTTCACATTATGTGCCACTCGTTACGTCTATTTTACAGATTTAATTGTATTTATAATTCAAATTTTAATTTGAAACGAACACATTTTTCGCGCTGCCTGTGAATGTCCTGAATGTGACTCACAGAAAGACGTGCGCCAGTATAATGTGCATGCACAGACCCCACGCCAGAAGTTCTCTTTCGCGCTTGAACGAACATCAACAACACACACAATTAAGCCAAAATGTCATTTGTCGAGGATCTTCATAACATAAGAGCAGTCTTATGATGGATATAAAGAATTGTGACTCGTGAGAGAATGAGGCGCGTGTGAGATCCGCGTCTCTGTCCACAGCGGCTGCTCTTAAAGGGCCAGCTACCAATAAAGCGTTCTGTCAGTAAAGTTAAAGAAAGAACAAAGGGAACAAAGAAATTTACTCACTGCTCTTGACTAAAGAACTTGTGTAGCTTTAATAAGGAGTAGTCCATATATAATTTATAATTTATGCAGCACAGACTGTTTGATAACTTTATTCAATTTCTGTATATGTCCTACCTGATTTTTATCCAGACATCAATGGCTTATTGATCATTATAGGTGTTATCAATCATTTAGACCCCATTTACACCTGGTATTAAAATGCGTTTTTTATTATCCGGATAACTTATCTGGATACAGATCACATTTTAATACCAGGTGTAAATGGGGTCTTAGTTGTTATTGCTAATTTCAGAATTATCACTAATCTGTGTGTGCATTTGGTTTAGAACCAAACAAGTTGACTCATGAAACCATTTGTTTATTATGTCGCAATCGCATATCACAACCGCAATATTGACCTCAATAATCGCAATATGACATTTTTCCCAAATCGTGCAGCCCTAGATAAAATTATAAATCTTTACTCGGACAAGTGAGTTTTGTGCATGGACAAGTGAAACATAAATTTACTTGTGCCTCAAAAAGTTAATGTCAAGCCCTGATCTTGATAAAAATTATCATTCTAGAAGAAAATTAGACGGCTTTTGCATCTGAACTCTTCTTATATATGTTGGACTTTGATGTTTTTGTGCAAAAAAAAAATGTCATCACCTCTTCCATTAGATCATATCAGGACAGTTCCTGACTGACAAGAAGGTGGGCGTTTATGTGGAGATTGACATGTTTGGACTTCCAGTTGACACAAGACGAAAAGCTTTCAAGACAAAGACGTCCCAAAGCAACGCCATCAACCCTGTGTGGGACGAGGAGCCCATCGTCTTTAAAAAAGTATGATGTTTTTGCTGTTCTAATCGTCAGATGGCTGGAGAGCATGAGAAATAGACTTGTGTTGTTTGTTTGGTCAGGTTGTGTTGCCCACCCTCGCTTCCCTGAGGATAGCCGTGTTTGAGGAGGGAGGGAAGTTCATTGGACATCGGATCATTCCCGTCTCAGCCATTCGTCCCGGTGAGAGTCTCTGTCATGTTTATTAAAGGTCCCGAATGTTGTTTTGGGATAGATTTACATGCAATTCTCCCAGTGTTTGAAACGCTTCGTTTAAGGATTCAGTCTCTCTGGTTCAGATTACAAGATTTTCGCCCGATATTGGCACGATCCGTTTGACGTAGGGTGTCGTGGGGATTCGTGAACGACAACGGGCGTCGGGACGCAAGATTCGATCGTATCATCTCGAATAGTGGGCGACAACCTACGTCGTTACGACATCACGACAAAAAGACTAGCATGTTGAATTTTTTTAACGGTCGTCCACGACGAGTTCCGTCACATGTATGAGGTCGACCAATAGGAGCACAGAAGCTTTTCCGTACACAACTTTCAAAAATGGCGAAACGAAAGACAGACGATGGTGCTACGTTAAAAATATATATAAGAAAACAATATTTTACCTCAAGTTTTCTTTGGAGTATTCACTCAAAAAAATGAACTAGGAAGGTTGTGCACTTTACATAATTTATTTATATTTAGTTTACTTATAATAATTGTGTTTTTTGACTATTAAGGTCTATGTAATTGTGTCTCAACTTGACAGTACAAAATCCTAATGTGTTGTCTAAACACAAACCATTTATGTTAAGTAAAAAAAATGTGTACATCCAGAGGGTGGCAGTATAGCGCGAGACGACGGCCATTTTGCCCCAACTTAATTTTATTGTGTTCAATCTGCTTAAATCTACGAACAACTTAAGTTTACTTAATCCGTTTGTGTTGGATTACGTGATTGATTTGTGTTGCCTTAACTGAAACTGGGCAGTGCTTTTAGTTGAATTAAGAGAGAATAAATGTTAAAATTAACATTCGAATCGAAATTAGCATTAACGAATCGAACTGTAAAATTTGTGTCAATACCCAGCCCTAATATTTAACCCATAGTGTTGATTTAATTAACTGCAATTCATTTTGTGATTACAGGAATTTTAAGAATTGTACGTTTTACATTAAATAATAGTTGCTGAGGGAAAAATAGAAATTAACTCAAAAAAAAAAAATTATTTGAATTTTTTTGATATTTTTGTATATAATTATTAATTTATTCATTTAGATACATTTAAGGCTGCAACATGGAAATGCAGAGGGGTTTTTTGTATTCAACGCTAATTTTCTCATATTCTCACAGGTTATCGTTACATCGGTTTGAGAAATGAAAAGAATCAAGCTCTTACTCTTCCTGCTATATTCGTGTATATCGAGGTCAAAGACTACGTACCGGATACATTCGCTGGTAAGAAGTTCATTACTATCATCACCCGCCATCTTTAGCATATTACTACTGTGGTGTCCAAATGAATGAGTGAATCTCACAAGCTGGATCATAATCAAGAAATCATACTTTGCACACAGAAAATGAACATCAAGCTGCTTTGCATTACTAGCAGTGTTGGGTGTAACTAATTAGTAAGTAATTAGTTACTGTAATTTAATTACTTTTCCCTTGAAAATGTAAAGTAAGGGATTACTCTTAATTTATCTGTAATACTTCTGATGTAATTGAGGTAAATCAATCCGATCTCACAGCGATTCGTATGCATTTTATGAGGTGTTTAAATATTACGACAGCACTCGTATGAATTATTGTAAAATATGTATGAAAAAGTGTGAAATGTCATGAGATCAGACATAAAACAATAGTGGGTTTAACATCAAAATGTATTGTCTGATGCTAAAAAGTATGTTTTTATAATGTAACCTTCTCCACCTTGGTCTGTTTAAGGATAATTCATGCAATTTTATAGTATTTATTTGAAAGAATTAAAACAGATTCGTGTCTATCATTGTATTATTCAGCTGGTTGAGATTGATATGGGATTTTGAAAGTAATTAGTAATTAAAAGTAATTAAATTAAAATTTAATTAGTACAGTAATCTAATTACACTGTTGAAGAGGTAATTAGTAACTAGTAATTAATTACTTTTTAGAGTAACTTACCCAACACTGATTATTAGCAACATATGTGGCAGATATATTCAGTATTCGTCACTGTGCTTTTTGTGAGGAGCTTTTCAATCTTCATCCCAGCGGGGGTTTTATGCTCATTTGCATACCGAAACTATGAGATGGGGGATTTAGGGACAGATTTACGCCTCCAGTACCCAGAATGCTCCTGTTTGCGTTAAAAAGTGTTACAGCGGCGAGGAACAACAACACCGACCTTCTCAGCAGCGTTTCACACGTCTGCGTCTACTCGTCTGTTCTCCTGTCAGACGCAAAGACCGATCTCAAGAGACGACTTTTTTTCCTTAAAGCTTTGCCTTATTAAAGACACATAAAAACAAAGCGACCTCATCTATTTAAAGCTAAACATGCAAATATAGAAAGTGATATAGACCCCACAGAAGATGTTACAACTTTCATTTCATGTCAAGTAATCATCGATAAGACTTTATTTAACTAACTAAAGTGCCTTCAGCTCATACTATCTAATGTGTGTGTTTGACGTGACTGACGTGTGTGTCTGTGTTGAACAGATGTCATTGAAGCGCTGTCCAACCCCATCAGATACGTCAACTTAATGGAGCAGCGATCCAAGCAGCTGGCGGCGCTCACTTTAGAGGAAGGAGAAGAGGAGAAGGACACTAAAGAGGTTCGCATCTGTCTCGCCTCAAATCTTCACACCTGGAAGTTGGAGAGTAAAATCATGACACTACAAATTTTAATAAACCATCAAAATGAGGGAAATTCATTTTAATGGTAACACTTTACAATAAGGTTAATTTATTAAACATTAATTAATGTATTAACTAACCATGAGCAATACATTTGTTACTGTTTTTGTTAATCTTTGTTAACGTTAGTTAATACAAATCCAGCTGTTCATTGTTTGTTCATGTTAGTTCACAGTGCATTGACTAATGTTAACAAGATTTTAATAAAGTATTAGTACATGTTGAAATTAACATTAACAAAGATTAACAAATGCTGTAGAAGTATTGTTCATTCTTAGTTAATGTTAACTAATGAACCTTATTGTAAAGTGTTACCATTTTAATTAATCAAAACTAAACTTGACTAAGGAATTTATCTGACAAATTTTTTTTTTTTTGAAAAAGCATACAGTACATTGACTACAACATAATATTTCATTGGTTCTCTTTTGTTTTTGCATTTGTTCAAAAATTTGTCCAAAAATGATATCGGCTCAATTTGGCATGTTATCATAAATAAGATGATCAACTCCAAGCTCAACTATACGGAGGCGTATTTCATTCACTTGAAGAAAAAAAAAATCTACTCTGTTTTTCTGAATTAACGGGTTAATTTTTCATGAGAAAAAAAATGCTCTGTTTTTCTGAATTAACGAGTTAATTTTTCATGAGAGAAATTTTTTTGCTCTGTTTTTCTGCATTAATTTTTCGTGAGAAAAAAAGTTTTTGCTCTGTTTTTCTGAATTAACGAGTTAATTCAGAAAAACAGAGCAAAAAAAAAAAAAATCCATGAAAAATTAACTCGTTAATTCAGAAAAACAGAGCAAAATATTTTTTTCTCATGAAAAATTAACTCATTAATTCAGAAAAACAGAGCAAAATATTTTTTCTCATGAAAAATTAACTCATTAATTCAGAAAAACAGAGCAAAAACTTTTTTTCTCATGAAAAATTAACTCATTAATTCAGAAAAACAGAGCATTTTTTTTTCTCATGAAAATTTAACTCGTTAATTCAGAAAAACAGAGTAGAATTTTTTTTCTTCAAGTGAATGCTATACGCCTCCGTACAACTATGCAATATGTTTGAAAAACTTTAACATTTTTTTTTTTATAATATTTGAATAAAGGGTGAAGATTTAAATTTTCCTTGGCCAGACATCAGTGTGTGTGTATATATATATATATTTGAGGTCTACAGTATTCATATTTGAAGTAATATATACTGTGTATATATATATATTAAACAAGGAAGACACTTCACTGCCACTAACATATACATGTACACACACGGTTCCATTGCAGACTATTTGAGTCCCCTGTTGGTAAGTTAGTTTCAGGTCCCCTCTTGGCTTTTTTTTTTTTTTTTTTTTCAAAAAATAAAAAAAATATATTTAAATTTATATTATGAAAAAAAAAGCGTGAAAGTATGTCATTTTTGTATGTCATTTTTGTTTCTTCAGAATGACCAGAAACACTAGTCCCCCCTAGGCCAGTGTAGAGCGATGGTCCCCTGTTTGTTAATATAGACGTGTACGTGTGTGTGTTTATTTAATTTATTAAGAGAAGAGCCTTTAAAAGGGGCAAACCAATGCTAATGTCATATATTAAAATGAATTTCTCAGATGCAATATACATGAGCATCATTTAGTGCTGGATTCATAATGGGATCACTTCACTAATTACTCTAAACTCTAATCACATTCCCGTTGATTTACTGTTCTGAATTATTAGGTCATTTCTCCTTGATTTCAGAAAGAGCTCTGTTGCTGTTGAACTGTGTGTGTGTGTGTTTGACAGAATGGTATCTTGTCGTTCAGGCGGATCCAGGTGTTGAAAACCCCTCGGAGGTGAAGAGCGAACCCAAACCCGCGCCGGTCGAGAACGGATTGAGTCACGCTCCCAGTGCGGCTCCGAAACCAGCGTCCCAGATCAGCGCACAACCACAGTCCTCAGGTCAGACCTTCACACTCACACATCAAACAAGACCGGAAAGAAGAATGATGAATGTTATTTGATATGCATGAATTATATGTGTTTCAGGCTCAACGAAACCAGCGGCAAAGACTGAAGATCTCATTCACAGTGTCCTCACTGGTCAGTTAAACACATTTAATGGCCTTTATCAGCTGTGGGAAAGATTCGAAAGAGACCCGATTCAGGGAAAAACAAAAAATTCTGAAATAACTGCACGGTTTAAATATATATAATATCATTTTAAATTATGAACTTGTGTTTTTTTTTTCATATTATACATATAGTGTAATAATAGTTGAATAAACAGAATAAAAAATCCATGGAAAATTTAATATTATATATTTAATATATATATAATAATATATAATATATATTTAAATATTACATTTTATTATAATATATATATATATATATATATATTTAATATATTAAATATAAATACTATATAAATAGTATTCCACACACACACACAATATTTAAATTTATTAAATATGTATTAAAAAATATGTAACAAAGTTAAAGGATCACAGGTGGCTCATTATCAATTGCCACGGCTCTCGGCAAATGTGTGTGTATGTGTGTGCGCGTGTTTTGTAAACATAAATTATAGAGTAAACAATATTTCAAAAATAATTAAAATATATGCAGATAAAATAATATAAGAAATATAATTTTGTTTTTTGTAAACATAAATAATAGAATAAACAATAGCAGGTTATTTAAAAAATAATTAAAATAGGCATAAAATAATACACAAAATATAATTATATATATATATATATATAAAATTATAAATATTACTTGCATATATATAATTTTGTGTTGCATATGTCAGTTTACATATATATATATATAGTAGCCCTCAATCGGGTCATGGGGTTTATACGACCCCAATCGACTTTTACTTAATAAAAAAAGGTTCCCTTCATCTCAGTGGAATAAGATTTTGTTACTTTTCATACATTATCTATCTATACACACACACACACACACACAAAAACTATGCTTGATTCGGTTGTTCAGAAGGTACGTAAAAAACATTTTTACACTTCTGGTCTTCGGGGGCAATATGACCCCACATTGAAATGAAAGGGAAATGTGGAAAAAAAAAAAAAAAAATTTTCTTCATGTGTCAAAAAAAAAAAAAATCCGGCATAAGTCTGGACATTTTTACACAGAAATGAAAGCCTAGTACTAGAGCATAAATGCAATGTATCATAAAAAAAATAATATTTCATATGCAAGCTAATGGTGTAGTTGAGGAATTGTGTGGTATATGAATACAAAAGTACTTTCTATCTCCAAAAACACAGCATTAATGAATAGATGAAATAATAATATTATTTGTATGATTAAAAATGTATATTTTTTGTACAATTACTCAATCAATTGTTGTGGTCGTATAGACCCCGAAGTGTAAACAGGAAACCAAGACCATTTGAAGGTTAACATGTAAAATAATACACAAACATAAATAATACAAATAATTCAGTCAAGTTTTTTTCTTGAATGATCTAAAAAGAAGCCATATTTTGCTTATGTTATTGGAGACATCAAATACAATTCTGTTTTATTAGGTAGCTGTTGAGTCAAATACATGATTTCAACACTTCTGATGTACAGATTTAGAAAATACATCGACGTAATAAAATCTGGAGGAGTAATTTCGTCTGCCTGTTTCAGAGATGGAGGCGCAGGCCGTGGAGGAGCTGAAGCAGCAGAAGGGCTTCGTCCGAGAGCAGAGGCGACACTATAAAGAGATGAAGGACCTGGTGAAGAAACACCACAAGAAGACCACTGAGATGATCAAGGAGCACACGGCCAAATACAACGAGATCCAGCACGACTACCTCCGCAAGCGGGCCGTCCTGCTCAAATCTGCAAAACGAGACGGTAAGAAGAGGTAGGTAGACGTCCTCTGGTCGATCGCTGTGGGAGTGTGTGTCCAAACATCCGCTGGACACACACGTCTCACACACCGGGTCTGCCGTCAGGTGCCTGTCCTCCAGTCCTGAACACGGACCCTCGTTCTTCGAGCAGGAGCTGAACACTCTGGATCAGGACAGCGGACAGAAGCTGTCGGACCTCAAAGAGCAGCAGCAACAACAGCTCCTGAATCTGCGGCAGGAACAGTATTACAGCGAGAAGTACCTGAAGAAAGAACACATCAAACAGGTCAACATCACTCATTGCAACTTGTGTTTTTACATTTTCAACTTTCAAGTCAAACCTTTTTTTTATGAATTATAGAAGATTCAACACAATTTTTTAAAGTCAGTTTAGTATAATTTTAAGTAGATTTGATTGTACTTAAAAGCTTGAAGCAAACTTATATTTTACATCAGAAATATTACTCAAAATAAGGCTCAAACATTAGGAAATTATTTAAAATAATTTGAAACAAAAACAAGTGTTAAAATCTTTTATTGATTTTTATTTATAATTGACTCTTTTATTAATTTGCAATTTACTCTTTTATGACTATATATCTATATATATTTTATATAATAATTGTATGTATATATAAAATTAAGTGTATTATTTTACATGTTAATACATTTTTTATATATTTTTAAATAACCTGCTTATGTTTACAAAAACAAAATCATATTAATTCAAATATAATATATTTTAAATATTGTTTATTCTATCATTTATGTTTCCAAAACACACACACACACACACACTTGAGACATAGAGCCATGAGAGAACGGAGCGAGGCCGTGGCGATTGATAATGAGCGTCACCTGTGCGTCGCAACGATCCTTTACATTGTTACTTATTTATAATAAGGATAATAATATAAATTAATAATGCAAAATATACAAATATATATTTAATATAAATATTAAATATTTATATATAATGTTAATAATATAATATACATTTGGTAGAATTTAAGTTGGAAATAATTTGATTGTACTTAAAAGTTTAAAGCAAACTTACATTTTGCGTCAGAAATATTATAATTTTAAAACTTTTATTGATTTTTATTGATTATAGATATTGACTCTTTTATTCATTTGCAAATGACTCTTTTATGACTATATATATATATGATATGGTGTATTATTTTATATGTTAATATATTGTAATTATTTTTTAAATAACCTGCTATTGTTTAGTCTATTATTTATGTTTACAAAAATAAAATCATATGAATTGAAATATAATATTTGAATTATTTTAGAAACATTTTTATTCTATCATTTATGTTGTACAAATCACACACACGAGACATAGAGCCGTGAGAGAACGTTGATAATGATCGTCACCTGTGCGCCGTATTAATATAAATTAATAATGCAAAAAAATATATACATATATATTTAATATAAACATTATATATATAATGTTAATAATATAATATACATATATGATATGTTTCTGTCATATTACACATACAGATAGTAATTCAATTAGTTTTAAAAGTTTTTTAAATAATGCTTTTGTTCCTTTATTGTTAGTCACTTTTGATAAAAGTACAGTATCTGCTAAATGCATAAGTGTAAAATAAAAATATAAAGCAGCAAAGTGTGCAATGTAAATGTCTGCATCTAGAGGTTTTGCTTACCTTTGTGTGAGAAATCAAGAATAAACGCCTGAAACATTTCTGATGTTCAACTTTAGAAAAGCTCTTTACAGATGTTTTTAATGGACGGGTCAGAAAGACTGATGGCGTGTCCTCTGTGTTCGCAGGTTATCGAGAAGCTGACCGGCATCGCTGAGGAAAGTCAGAGCAACCAAATGAAGAAAATCAAGGAGCTGTGTGAGAAGTGAGTCTGTTACTAATATCACAAACGTCTTTAATAATTCATAAGGTCATGTAGCGTCAACCTCGCTGTTCCGTCTGTGTTTACAGAGAAAAGAAAGAACTGAAGAAGAAAATGGACAAGAAGAGACAAGAGAAGATCAATGAAGCCAAATCAAAGGAGAAGCACTTGACAGAAGAGTAAGAGTTCATCTGTTCATCATTTCCTGTATAAAATGTGTGTTTTGGTTGAAATAATTCTTTTAAATAAATAAATCTTTTTCTCCACGGCTTGGCCTTCTGTCCGCACTGAGATGCCATTTTGTCTTTCGAAAACAGAGATTTTTTAAGAATATATCAATCTGAAACATCGTTTCCTCACTGTATAGTGTAGACTGTGGAAACATATACTGTATATTTATATGTTAATGTCATATATATTTAGGGCCTAAAATGAACTTTTTGCCACACCTGCCAATGGCCGGTTACTTACTAAAATGTACCGCTCATGAATATTTTTTATAGGCCATTAAACTGTTTTTGCAGTGACACCAAAATTTTTAGATGGCATTTAGATTTCAATTTCAATACCACAGCTAAAATTACTAGGCTAACTAACATTATTGTAAAACGTTATTAAAGACGAGCTACAGTAGTTTTCAGGTCGAGACATTGAATAAAGTAATCAAATTACACTGGATATAGTCTTCGCTGTGAATAAATTAAACAGATTATTCCTTATTAACGTTTCAAAAGATATTCAAGCAAGAGCTGCGAGTGATTTTTTCTTTGTCCTTTTGTTGTTTGATTGACATTAAAGGAGTAGTTCACTTTTTTTTCTTTTTTTTACTTTTGCTGATAATTTACTCGCCCCCATGTCATCCAAGATGTCCATGTCTTTCTTTCTTCAGTCGAAAAGAAATTAAGGTTTTTGATGAAAACATTCCAGGATTTTCTCCATATAATGGACTTCAATGGGGACCAAACGGTTCAAGGTCCAAATGAGAGTTTCAGTGCAAACTGTTCAAAGGGCTTTAAACGATTCCAGACGATGAATAAGCGTCTTATATAGCGAAACGATCATTCAATGAACAAAATGAACCAAATGACTCAAACAGATTTTGATGAACAAGTTCGAACAGGAGAGTCATGAACGCGCATCACAGAACAGAGCAAGGCGACCATTTGAGCTTATAAAACTTAAACTTTGTTATTAATTTATTAAATGAGCGATCGTTTCGCTTGATAAGACCCTTATTCATCGCCTGGAATCTGTTCAAAGGGCTTTAAACGACACCAGATAATGAATAAGGGTCTTATCAAGCTAAACGATCGCTTATTTAATAAATTAATAACAAAGTTTTAGTTTTATAAGCCTTGCTCTGTTCTGTGATGCGCGTTCATGACTCTCCTGTTCGAACTCGTTGATCAAAATGAATGAATCTTTTTTTGAGTCATATGGTTCATTTTGTTCATTGAATCAACCAAATGACTCAAAAAAAGATTAATTTGAAACTCTCATTTGGACCTTGAACTGTTTGGACCCCATTGAAGTCCATTATATGGAGAAAATCCTGGAATGTTTTCATCAAAAACCTTAATTTCTTTTCGACTGAAGAAAGAAAGAAAGACATGGACATCTTGGATGAGTAAATTATCAGCAAAAGTTGTTTTTTTTTAAAAAGTGAACTACTCCTTTAAGCCAAACTAATTATTAATCGATTTGGAGACAAAAAAAGAAGATTCATTTCAGGTTATTTTCATTAATGCTCTGGGAGGCAATTAAAGGAATGGAAAGAATTTTATTATTCTTTATAAAACTGGCCTCTAGATGGCAATAAAACATAATAAATGCATCTCTCTCTCTCTCTGCTTTCAGGGAGAAACTGGAGATCAACCGGTCTTATGTGAACGACGTGGTGCATCACATTAAGAGGGTAAAAGAGTTTCCCCATCTCTCAAGATCATAAATGAGAATAAATATGATTCTTTACACTTTTCTGTCTTTTTCATCACTAGCTGGAAGACGCTCAGACTAAAAGACACGAGAAGCTTGTTGAAACCCATAAAAGCATTCTGCAACAGATATTAGATGAGAAACCCAAGGTAAGAGTTAACAAATAACAATGATATGGTACCAGAGTAATACCTTATTTCGGATGCACACCACACCACGCTTTTATCTCATTTGGAGATTAACGTCACATAAATGAACACTGCAGAATGAAAGATATTATTATTACTATAGTGCTGTTACTGTTATTGCTATGAAAGAGTGCTGTTGCTTTCTGGGAAGTTTGACAGATTAGTGTTGATGAAAGAGTACAGCTGCATCAATACATATTTCACAAACGTCATTGATTTTCTGCATCTGTCATTCACTATCATGCCTTTATGCTCAACAACACTTTTTTGTCTGGCAAATTTAAAACCTGACAAATTTAATAATAATGCTTTTTTTTATTTGAAAAATTTTAATATTTGAAATTTTGTTGTCTGAAGGTAAAACAAACAAGGTACAACGAGGATCTTGTAATATTACAGACTAAAAATCAGTGCAGATTTCATGTATGCCACGAGCTGAAAGTGGGCGTTTGTACAATTACACTTAAAGGCTTTTTCTTGCTAAACACGTAACACTATCAATCAGGCGACAGCAGTGTTGTGCAAGTTACTTCCAAACTGTAATACATTAGGTATTACTTGTTACTGTTATTTAAAAGTAATTCATTACCTTACAATATTACTGTCCCAGAATTGTAATGCGTTACACTACTCATGTATTACTTTTGAGTTACTTTCACCAAAATAACTAAGTAGAACTTAACTTTTGGGCTGTAACGATATGCAATATGAAACCGAAATCGCGATTCGCCACATCCACGAACCTACAGAATCGCGACACACCTCTTCCAACTCCAGCGTTATTCTCCTTACCGTCCAGATCCAATGCTGCCTTATCTTTAAATTAGACTATTAGTATTATTTGAAGTTAACATTATAAAATAGAAAATACGTAGACCTACACCACAAAACTAGTTGAGGATAAATTATTTAAAATTGGGGAAGTCCAGCATTATGGACATGACATTTGCAGTCAAAACTTGAAATACAAATTCTCAGAAAATTGAAACGTATATAGGCTACTTCCTTAAAGGACTCCAGACATTAGACAAATATCAGTCTATGTTTTATTTTTAATATTAGGGAAAAGACACACATTCATGCGTGACAAAAAAATAGGAGGCAAAATACATTTTTTGTAATTCTGTTAATTACACTGCGCAAATCGGGTGAGGAAGGGCTGGCTCTGCTGTCTCCATAGAACTTAAAATATTTATTTTATTTTAGTTTTCGTGTTCGCATTTATGAGGAAAAAACAATGTTAGACGCGACCTCTCTGAACTGGCACCAAAAGACTGCTTTAAAACTTTCACATAGTCTGTTGCCTTTAAGAAGTAAAAGCAGACAATACACTGTAATACAACTGTAATACAAGCCTCACTGAACATGTAACGAGTAAAATATTACTGAAAATTGATTAGTAATGCCTTACACTACTGCGTTACAGCAAAAAGTAATATGTTACTGTAATGTATTACTTTTGTAATGCGTTACTCCCAACACTGGGCGACAGAAGGTAGAAGAGTGTGAATCATGCTGATCATTTAGGTGCATATCAAATATGAAGTTGAGAAATAGTTCTCTCAAATGAAAATTCACTCATCTTTGAAGGTTTGTACTGCGATGAGGGCGAGAAATGATGCCAGTTTCAATCCAGCCCTTTAAATATTTCATGAACTGTAAGGATTATATGATTTGGAGAATTGCAGTGTGATGCGGCACATTTTTAGATGCAGAAACTGAACAAATGTGCTTTTTAATGAGATCTGACCGGATTCAGATGTGTGAGAACTGCCTGGATTGCAGCTCTTTGATTGGCTTATGAACTGTTAATCACTTTGGACCTGACCAATCATTTTACATGGAGTCAAGTCTCCCTCCCCGAGCATATAACTCCCCAAATTCAGTGTTTAATGTGCATAACTAAATTGATATGAGTGCATTCTTATCTATAAAAGAATCTGGTGAAATATCTCCATGCATCTGTTGATTTGGCCTGGATCGGCCCGGATCTGCTGCAGCATTAGTGAATATTGATCCGGATCTGTCAATACCGTCACATGTCACATTACTGACCCGTTCATGCCACGACTCCTGCGCTCACAGCACACACACCTTCACTCACTGAACCGCTCACTCTTAGAAGAAATGGTTCTATTTAGAACCAGAAATGGTTCCATCCCCCGCTTCATACATGGAACTCCAAAATGCTTCTACATAGAACCTTTTTTTTTTTTGGTAAAAGGTTCTATTGGCCAAGTATGGAACCCCAGGGTTCTATATAGAACCCAGAGGAACCCTTTTTTAAGAGTGTATAGAACCTTTTAGGGGTTCCAAATACGTAGCGCTGATAGAACCTTTTAAGGTTCTATATAGAACCTTTTCTTCTAAGAGTGCTGAGAACTGATGAGGTTTACAGGGAGCATATCCTTATTTTTTGTTCTTTCAATTTAATATTTAATCCTCTAATAATGCTTAGTTTTTTTTTTCATCAAATGTATTTTACATTTATCATTACATTTATTTTAAATTTATAATACATTTAAGGTTATTATTAAATTATTTTTAAATATGTTAAATTATTTTTTCAGGATCATTTCTCTCTCTGACTTTTTAATGGACTTTTCCCACATTTTATTGTTTTTAATGATAAATAATTTATTTTTAAATTTATCATTATATTTATTTGAAATTTAAAATAAATTATCATTTAAGTTTTATATGAATTTATCTGATTTCTTTTTTTAAGGATCATTTTCCGCACCCTTTCCCTCACTCTTACGATTAAACATGCTATTGCTTATACATATATATATATATATATATATATATATATATATCTTTATTATGTATTTGTTTCTTTTTCCCCCTTGGATTCCTATTATAATGTTAATCAATGTTTGTTTGTTTTTTTGCTACAAAAACAAGCACGTTTTTTTTTTCATATTAATTTTTTCTCATTCTCTCTCTCTGACTCTTACAGTTAATCATGCTGCTATTTGATTCTTTAATAGACATTTCCACAATTGTATAATTTATTTCTGTCTAATTGTTGGTTAACCTGTTTGTTTTTTGAGAAGCAAATAATAACGTTCCAAGAACATTCTTTATGGGTTTAATTTTTTTAAACCATAAAATAACGTTGCCAGAACTTTGCAGGAAGGTTATTTTTTTAAATAATTCAAACAGAACGTTCCCTAATTATTTTTAGTTATTTTTAGTTTTAAAACCATGTGAACTAACCTTCCAATTACAACGTTGCTGATGTTTTTGTGCAATGACCTATACAGAGCATTTAAAGGTGCATTGCGCAACATTCCTCTCTCTCTCTCTCTCTCTCTCTCTCTCTCTCTCTCTCTCTCTCTCTCTCTATATATATATATATATATATATATATATATATATGTGTGTGTGTGTGTATATATATATATATATATAAATATATATATATATATATATATACGTATGTCGGCCATCAGCCACCCTGCTCTCTCAGATATCGGCATCGGCCATCCAAAAACCCATATCGATCAACCACTACTTTTTATAGTTTCCTGGTTCATGATGTCACATGACGTCTCACCATTGGGCTGATTTTTACATGTGCTTCAAGACATCATCACGCAAAGCGTTCCCTTAGCATCGATTGACCTTGAAAGGGATCTAACATTTGGGAGCGTTCTGGGAACGTTTTTTTTTTTTTTAATAACGTGCACTAATGATCAGTTTTGATTTCCTGTAGACTAATATTTTGACCTGTGTTCACAGCTTCAGAACGACCTGGATCAGGAATACCAGGATAAATTCCGGCGGCTTCCATTGGAGATCCAGGAGTTTGTGCAGGAAAGCACCAAGAGAAAGACTGAGGATGTAGAGCAAGAAGTTCTTCCTTCTTCCTCTTCCACGCTGGAGAAACTCACGCAGAAGAGCGCACAGTCTGAAGACGACACAGAAGAGGAGAAGAAAGACTGATCCGACCCTGTCAGAAACCTTCAGACCTCTTCCCACTTTTACGTTCTTACCGAGAGATATGGACGGCTGATGGAGGAGGCTTGGTGGAAACGTGGCTTAACGTCACGCTGGGAGGTTTTTTATTTCACTTTGTGTATTCTACTTGGCTGAGTACACACTAAGGTTTAAATATGAATTATTTCTAATGTTCTGTTGATGTGCTTCTCATAATAATGAGTGAAAACAAAATGGAAGAGAATGCAGGTGTATAGAGATACTAATTATCTTTAATAGAGGAATCTCACAAAAACATCACGGATCAAAACAATCCGAGTCATATTTTGTGTTCGTGTTCGAAATCGCTCCCTTTACGCTCGTTCGATATTCCCTGCATGAATCCACTGATATAGTCGTGAAGAAGTGAATGAAAACGAGTGAGTGAATCGAACACTGCTACTGCTTTAGAAACTTTGAACTCTGTCATGTATAAACCTTAATTAAACTATTTAATAATCACTTAAAAAGGAAGTTATGCCTGTGTGATATTACGCTGTAGCCACATTGGACCAGCATGGACGGATGGATGATCTTGGTCGACTCTCACAGTGCATTATGGGTATTCTCTAGCCTTTGAGTGCGGCTGAATGTTCTTCACTCGTTAATATGATGCATTATGGGATTGATCGAGTGCACTCGATTACGTCCAGCACTACAAATGTCTGTTCCCTCAAATACCGCCCTATTTAGGGGAATAAGGGGCTATTTCAGACAGTTTCTGGGATGAAATATGACCCGGATGTGTTCTCGACAGGCTTTGTGAGATTCACTCTTAAGGCCCGTTCACATCAACGACGATAGCCGTAACGATAAAGATATAAGATGTGTCCCAAATGATGCACTATAAACTATGTACTTTACGGTTTTGAATGAACTTTATAAGGTTATTTTTGTCATTCAACATTTGAGTCTGAAGCCCCTCCCCCTCATCTACGTAATTCTGTACTACATTCCCCATGATGTCATGATCATGTGACCATCCGGCATCAGTTGCGTCGCTCACGGGATAGGAAAGTGTCCATCGTATGCACTGGGGATGCACCGATATTTTGGCCGATAACCGATAATTCTTTATATTGACAGCCGATAACCAATATATATAAATCCAAATTTTTATATAATTTTTGTGAGCCTGATTATAAAAATAATAGTCTCACCATTAAAAGCCATGTCCCAAACACACAATTATAATGTTCTCGTTATAATGTAGCCGATATTAAACGTGCAGCACATGAACTGTATTTTAATATATCGGCCGAATTTTCTTATCGGGCCGATAATGCTAATATTAAAAACCGGCCGATACCATTATGGTGGCTGATATTTCGCGCATCCTTAGGCCGTGTGTCCACCAAACGCCAGAATATTTGCTGAAGACGCCGTGCTATGGGCGTTTTATTAGCGCTGCATTTTTCCGTTGAGACGTTTCGTTGCTATGATACAGAATATCCGCTGCACAGTTTACTTGTAACTAATTTCGCAGATAATTTGTTTCATACTAAAATTACATTTTTCATCCATTTTGTTCGGTTAGCTATGCTGGTTGATGTCGTTGTACAGAAAGAATGTTGCGTCGGTGTGGTATTAGCCCCGCCCCTTCTCCACTGTGATTGGACGGCAGTGATGAGCGCTGCATTTTATCAGAGAATGTCTAATTGAAGAGAATTGGCACTGGCTGGTTACTTCCAGGTTCTGGACTGGCTGCAGTAACACGTCTGTCCATGCGGGGGCGCTCGTGGTCGAGTGCAGAATGAATGGGAGTCAATGGGGTTTCACCCCCAGAAATCCACTTTTCTCAGGATGTAATTTTTTGTCAAGTAATTTGAAAGTTGCATTCAAAAGGGAGGGCTAAGAAAATACACTCAGCTGAAAATTTAATTTTTAAGTTCACTGATCTGTTCAAAAATGTGATGACGTCACACAATAGCAGAATGCTAGCGTGTTCTGGCCAACAACAGCCTAACCTGTAAGAAATCAAAAGGACATAAGTACCCGTTCATTCGACTTTTGGCCTATAATCTATATTGAACTTGCGGAATCAATAATAAAATCGATGTTAATTTAACGACAAGCAGGTGAAAGAGACACATTTAGCCGTTTAGCCCCATAGACTCCCATTCATTCTGCTCTCGCCCGTGATCACCCCAGTGGAATTCTAATGGAACTGCAACCAAGATGATGCACAACGGGGCTAATAGGAAGTGCCAAGGCTCTCCGTTAGACGGGCTCTGACAAAGTTGAACATTTTTCAACTCTCGGCAACCAGTAAAAAACGCCGGGCGCTCAGCGCTTCAGGGCGAAAAAAACGCTCAACGCCTCATTACGCTCATGGCGTTTAAAAAAACGCGGCGCTCCCATTGAAAACAATTGAAAACATACGGCGGGCGCGTGGAAAAACACTTTGGTGGACACACGATCATCTGGATACTTTTTGCCAAGTACTGTGAATTCAGACATACTTATGTTGTCACATACTGTTTTTCGCCTAGTATACCGTAGTGAAGTACGTGATTCCAGATGCAGCCATTGTATTTTCGGTTAATTAAGTGGATCATACGGGTATTTAAAGTGCACTTTTTCCTTTAGGAATTTTTCGTGTTAAGACAATACACTATTTATCCTACAAAATGACTTTGAGATATTGCATTTGTACTGTATGTGAATCGGGACGCATCTTTAGTTTTAATAATCATCCTAAATACAAAAGAATAGCAGAGTTCATAAACATATTTACAGCCAATCATAATTCAGAGATAGAGCACTTGTGACAAAACTGCTGCGTGTGTGTGTGTGTGTGTGTGTGTGGACGATATTGCTATCTTTATCGTTCTCGTTCTTGGTTTGAACGGGCCTAACAGACATGAGTTTCTGAAAGCTTCATGGTTTATTTGCACTGAAACGGATTGCTGCTGTTGGTTTGGTTTGACTCTGTGCTTGCTGTGTATATATAACAGGATTGATTTTCCACCTGTACTAATGAAACACACTGGTCTGAGGTGCTGAGAGCCTGTCCAACACTGACCTGGAACAGTTTCAGGGATGCATGCTTACAGTCAGCCCAGCGCTTGTGCTTCTACACATTTGTAAATGTCAGCAATATAGCTTGTGTTGTAATGTGATGAACTATTATCAATTTGTGAAGATGTGTTTCAAGTTATAAGCTCTATTTCTTTTCGAACCCATAGGTCGTTTTAAAAATATATAAATGCATAGTGTTTTATTTGTTGTATTAAGGGACCATTTCATTTCTTCCGGTTTCTATAGGAGACTGTTTTAATTCGCTCTTTTGTTAATACAGTTTGAATTTTTCCCGGTTTGCATCAATATCACTTTAATGACTGTGTGAATCTCATGGAAACATGACCTGGTCACTTTACACCCCAAAATCAGTGACAGATTGAAATGACCAGAACAGACGCACTATAATTATAAATTCAAAAAACGATGCATACATTGATATTTTTTTGCATTATGAAAAGATTTTTATAGTCATTATTTATTACTGGTTTTGGGGTCAAATGTGACCTGGATTTCTTGAGATTCACCTCAGTTATAAATAAAATTAGTAATGCAGATGAAGGCAAAAAAACAAAAATTAAAAAAAAATGGATATGCACTTTGGATGTCCCGAGGTATTATGCAATCTTTCTACATAAGTCAGAAAGCATGTAATATTTCCTTTTTATTATGTAGGATATGTTTAAGGATTTTTATGCCATTGTTAATTTTTTCTACTTTATGCCATTCATCTATAATTAGTTATTTCATTAATCTGTTATATACTTCTAGATTTAATTTTTTTAATTATATCTGTAATTTTTTTTATATATATATATATAATTATAATTGGTTTAGTTATGGATTTCAAGTTTATTGACACCAAGTAAGTAATGGGTTTAAGTTTGACATTTCGTTTTCTGTATATTTGCAAGGTTTCGATATTAATTATCTGTGAAATACTTAAAAAAGGGCCAAAACGTGTTTCCTTTCACTTTGTTTTCAGAGCCGGTGACAGATCGCTTTGAGGAAACCCTCTTCAAACACAAATGTTGAAGCCTTGCATAATATCAATTTGCTTTGAAAAGAGTGTATGATTTCAGTGAGGTCATTGAAGCAGCTTTATCGTTCACTCGATGACTTAATTTCCCCATAATCACTAGTTTACATGTAACATGAATCTTGTATATTCACTTCCAGTAGGCTAGTGTTATTGAATTTTTACTACACGATTCTGTGCCATTGGTTCCTTTCCACCAAAATCTTTTTTGCAATGTAAGATTACTTGAATTACTTTTATGACTCAAGAATATTTTCGATCGTTTTGAAGTGAAGTCCCGTGCCTTTGAATGTTGAATCTATGTTAGATGTGGAATGTAAAAAGTGTTGATGAATTATGAATAGAGCTCATTTTTTGTATAAACCTTACCGTAAGCGCACTTTTAAGATATTTATACTTCTACAGACTTAGATAGGCTAGATATGACGTGTCAGACTATTGGTCATGGATGCTACTGAATGCCACTTTATTATTTCCGACGTCTGTTGACAGAAAAAAATCCCTATTTAACATTGAATGACATTTGATTTTGTCCACTTCTGTTATTAGTTTGACAAATATCAAGATCTTTGGAAGACAAATATTGTTGAATGTAAGTTGTGCTTGTGTTGTGCATTGGTTTTAATAAAATTGTTCTTGTGAACTTCGGGCTTTGAACAATAATGCTCATTTTGGTCGAAACTTTGGCTGTGAAATAAAGGTTTTATGACCTTTCAGACCTGTTTTACAGACTATCTCACTGATGAGAATATTAATGGTGCATGTACTTTTTAAATCACTTTAAATAACTTGCTAAATTTTCTACCGATTTTCAAACGGTCTGGTTTGTTATAAACGGCAGAGATGTAGTTATGATACTGCATACTTATGAATAATAAGTTTAGCCTATAAATAAATAAATAAATAATCATCCAGAATTATAGTAAGAAATTGTAATAATAATTGTAAGAAACCAAACCGTTTGTAAATCCGTCAAGGTTTCAACGAGATAATGGTATTTCCTACATCAGATCCCACAGAGTCCGCCAGAAAGCCTGACTGTGACAAGATGGCCGCCGGTGATGACGATAAATACTCCGCCGTGAGACATCTAGCCTTTATATACATATCTATATTTGCCAGGTTAAGTTTTTACAGTAGCCTATTTAGGCCTACTAAATTTAATTGTTGAGATTTACCTTTTATTTCCTTAAAAAACTTATTTCCTTGTATTTTAATATTTATGAGAAACTGTAACGCGGAATACGTCCCGCTTTTTAAATAAGAGCCAATCGCTGATTGGTAAAGTAATTGCGTCACTGACTCGTGAAGACTAAAAATGGCTCTTTTTTTTGCATAAGAAACATGTATGGGACAGTTCATGTCAGATTTTGTTGTTAATTTGAAAAATGATTTGAAAGGGACTTTGGTAATATTGATGTAATGAGGTCGTCGAACGCGTCTGGTCAAACCTATTATTATATAAAAACCATGGGTAAGCATCAGAAATAGATGGTTTGACCCTTTAAGGCACTTATATTATGGTTAATGTTTTTTTTATTTTATTTTTACCATAATTGGCTATTATAAAGTGTTCTTAATAATATTTGAAGAACGTTTTAGATGAAACCAGGATTATGATGTGTACAGTGTGTGTGTCTGTGTAATGCAGGATGCGGCCTGTGGGTGTCGCTGTTCAGTCACATGAACTGGTTTAACATCATTCCCATCAGGCATTAAAGGGAAAATCAATCACTGGAGCAGCAGTACAGCGGGTGAGTGAACTCAAACTCGACTTTAAACTAATACAATTATGTTAACTCTGTTAAATATCCGATGAATTGCCCGATTTGTTTGGATTATTGAGATTAAATCAACTCGACAACAACATCTGTCCGTCAATCATCTGATTTGAGACAAACTGATTGAGTCAGTGCGTTTGATTCACGCGTTTTGTGTATCAGTCGTTTGTTTATGTTGTAAAGCGATTCAGTTCAGAACATTATAAGTTATTGTAAATGTATCAGTAATTGGTTAAAGTCTTACATGTTTA